TTTGTTTTAAAATAAGTGTTGTTTGATGATTTGCTATTTTAAAAGAGTACCAAGAGTTTTTTACGCCAGCTTTTTCCCTCGGCCTACACCCTCTGTCTTCTTTGCCGATGAGTAGGGATGTCTACCGATTGAAATTGCTTCTAATTACGTGGAATAAGTAATACCAGTATCTTATATTCCATAATAAACATATTTTATTTTAATTGGCTTACTAAATTGTGTAATCTGTATAAACATTACTGTATACGAATACGACAGTGAACATACTCGGGCCATACTTAGTAACTTAATCGCGCTCCAGGTCTCTACAATTATTAAATAATCTTTCTGTGGCGCGGCAGGCCATTGCGCATTAATGTAGAAAATCAGAACTAAAGAACATTGTACATTAGTTAAGATATAAACAAAAGAATTCTGACACAAATTAATTACCAAATTAATAATATTTGAACGCATCGTATTCACCTGATGGCTTTAATTAAAATGCAAATGAAGTCATCGGAGCCGTGATCTATTTATCGCAGGCCGTATCCCAGATCACTGGATTATTTCGTCGCCGGCGCTCACCATAAAGATTAACAACGGCCTATGTCCTAGAGATTGTGTTTAGGCTGTATGGGTATAGGTAAAGGGCGATATTCGGGTGAATGCAGGTTGTGTTATGTCGTTTTGTGGCATGCAGGCGGGGTGAGCGCCGGCGCATTCCTCGGGACTTAGTCACAAAGGCTGACGGCCTTGTGAACACCTCCCATGAAATTGTTGATCGGATATAGCGCATGGTTTCGCTTTCTATTTTCTTTCATGCGCATGCGTGAAAATGCAATCCAAGGATCTACATCAATTCGAACACCATTCGTAAAAAACCCGTTCAGACTGCAAAACTCGCGATTCGGAATAAAACAGAAATATCTGGAATTCTATTCAGTTCCGCCAGTGTAGGCCATTAAAATCGACCATTTCATGGGCTTTATTAATTACACGGACAATTGTGTAAAATTAGGACTCTATGATGACGGAGCGTTATCGGATCGTATATTTTACTAAGAGACGCCTCCGTCATCCTCATAGACGAGGAGTCTATGACATTCGAGGGAATATGAAACACATTCATCTGATATAATTTAGAAAGAATGGTATTATATAGATATAGACATAACATTTATTACTAACAAAAACACACCAAATATCAATAATCAAAGAAAAAAATATATAATGAGAGATTTAAAAAAAATATCCCTTTTCCCATTCGGTTCGTTTCAAGTGTGTAATTCGAGTGTGCTGTTCCACAGCGCTGGTCATTCTGCCAGAGACTACATCAGCTAGTTTGCGCCTCAGTCGCAAAAAAAGAAAGAAAAGGAATGTAATAATAATGAAAAAAAAAAAATACATCGCAGCATTTGAATATTTTGATAGGCTGGCACCGCACTTGCGAGTCTCCTGACTAAGTTTCACTTTACATCAGCTGAGCCCCCTGGCCGTTTAACTCCTATTACATAAAAAAAATTATAATAATAATAATAATGTTACTCGTACAAAATTGTATCTAAACTCGACTTCTCCTTTTGATCTTCTTTTGCGTAGAAGACATTATTCAATGGGTTGCCTTCTGTATAAATAGCTCAAAGAATCCTTAAATAACGATTAATAAACCCAGATTTTTAACGATGACATACATTCAAATTAACTGAATATTTTCGTGGAAATATTAGCACATTGTCAACTCATATAAGAATGAATTACTTCATTAAAAGATTACAAAACAATTCATAAAACTATTGTCTGTTTGCTGTGTAGTTATTATTCATATAAAGGTGAGGGCCCAGGTAGGTATTTAGCGGATTTCATATTTGTTGTCATCTCTCAATGTATTTTGTAAGAATTTTTACGATCTCTTTTGTGTTCACCTGTTTTTGTGCGGGTTTTTGTTCGCTTTGCGTAAATCTACTTGTGTCGACAAGACGCGACACGCCTTGTATTCTTTTATAACGTTATATTTAAGTACCTATAAAGCATGTTATAAAAGTTAAATAGGATATTTTGGTGCCCAATTAAACAGTAGCCCATAATATAGGAAACTAAATGAAAGAACCACCAAAGTCATGGGATAGTGAACTTCAACAAAGTCCTTTTCGAGAAAGATCTTTTAATTTAATTATTAAAAATGTACATAAAAGTCTTGACCGTTCGTGGTTGCTATTTAAAAAATTCCGTTTGTCATCTGAAGAACATTTAGTTGACAATGTTTTTACAAAAAACCTTCAATAAAATTCCAAAACCATGCGCAAGAGCATGACACAATAGACATAAACGCGCACCGCGCTCGCCATCTTACTTAAATAATTGCCACTTCCTGTTGCCTGCAAAAGTAAATTCAAAAGAATTATTGGAATCACCCTTAAAGCCTTGAAGTATTAGGATAAATACTATCTTTTCAAGAGAACCACGGAACACCTCAGATTTGTGTCTGTTTTTTGGATGATTTTCTTTGTATTCAAGTAGGTAAGACTTGAATGGTAATTTTTTAATAAAATAATTTAATTCATTACAATAATAATAACAATAACTAAACTTAAAATATAATAACTAAAATATATTATTAAAAGGAGTCCCTTTAGGCAAGGTTCCGAAGATACTGGCAGCGTTCCCCCTTTGAATAGCTAGACTAATTCTTTGTTCGAGGTAGCTGCCAGCTCTTTGATCTCTTGTGATTAATTTTTAATTTTCAGGATAATAAAAGTGACATTGACCTTGGAACAGCAGCTTCTGCTTCATTTGTCAAACTTGTAACTTGCTTAAAAATTAAAAGCCTATTTGAAAGTGTGTACATTTTTGTCTACTTTAAAATAAATACGTCTATAATTGGCACTTCGTCCAGTTTGATTGCTCGGTGGTCTCGAAGTATGAAATATGAGGAGCAACAATAGTGAACGACGGGGAGGGGAGAAGGCGGCGGTCTCAATGAAACTTCTACCTGGATTATCTATCGAGTGATAAATTATAAATATGGCATTTGAACGGCATTTATCATCGAAATGGGGCTTGGGCCCTTTAAATATATTGTGCGATTGTTTGGTATTGGAATGTGAAGCGGCAAGATGTGTTATGTCCAGGCGCCATTTTGTGTAACATAATAGTGTCAAGTAATTAATAACGATTGTTTAATAGGCTTTGAATTCACATTTCCTAAACTTTCTTGGCAGAACTGGAAGTAAATATAACATTATTAATTATATATTATAAACACAATGGAAAAATTTAATTTAAATTTCTTCTGTACAAACATTACCTGTCCACATCGTAATTCTAACTTTCGTACTAATGTATAACTACTAATTGACGTGAGAGTGATCTTAAATTAAATTAAAATGGTTCATGTGCACTTTTTACTCTTTATTTTTCATGTATTCTTAATTAGTTTAGTTTGTTTTTTGTTCCTGTTTAGTTTTTTTCTTTATTATGTTCAATTTTTATATTGTAATGCAACGAAGTGGTAATAAATAATCTTAATATATATAAATTACGTGTCACGTTGTTTGTCCGCTATGGACTCCTAAACTACCGAACCGATTTCAATCAAATTTGCACACCGTGTGGAGTTTGATCTAACTTAAAAGATAGGATAGTCTACATCTCAATTTATACCCGCAATATTATTTTGTTGCAAAATATTTGTTTATTATTTGATACAATTCTAACAGATGGCGCTGTGTAAGTACCAACGTTTCACATAAGCTATCTACCCTTCACATAAGTTCTCCTACCGTTTCCCTTGAGTAGTTTACTACTATGTAATATAACAAAAACCTTAATTTATAAAACAAAATAAAATGTACAAAAAACATTTTTTATATTGCCATGAATCGACCTAGGCCCACAAAATAACTTATAAATTTTAATATCACTCGCTTCAATATATCGTTTACTTATAAATATATTTTTCTTCTGTCTTGCGTCATCTGCCTTTACTTACCAGGGCCTGGTCATACTCTTCTATTTATTTTTGAACTTTCGCTTGTGTAAGTGGAAATTATTGACATCGATAGAGCAGTCAACTAATATACTAATTAAAAGCCTATTTTCTGAGTAAAACCTTAGGTTATAGAACATCATGCTACGAAAGAATTAATGCGGGTGGAACCGGAGAGCACAGCTAGTTGTTTTATATGGCCATGGAGACAAAGGGTCCTACAGGAGTCAGCATTCCGTTAATACGTGATTTAATTCACTTTATTCTCTTATCTTTCGGCAACAGTCTAGACATCCAATGGGTATTAGTAAAAAGAGATAATTTTCTTAATTGGTCACACAGCTAACTTCTGTTAGATTATTTCTGTTTTGTGTACTAAATTAAGAATCAAGGTAAACTAAATCAGTTTTTACTCTAATAATTTTATACAAAAAATGATCAGGAGTTCATGGCGACTCACTCTTTGATTCTTAAGGGTAACTAATAAGTAAAAATAAGTTCAAAAGTAAGACGTTCAGTCTGTAGTGAGTCGCGCTGAGTGGTTCAATATCGGTGCGCGCGCAGTTGCGGTATACGTATAGTAAATCTGTCTGAGGCAAATGCCTACACAGACAGACAAACATTTTAATTACATAAAAGTCTATTATTTTGATATGTATTTGAGTTACGTAAGAGAAATTTATGACTATATAATATAAAACTAGAAAATAATCAACCGACTTTCACGCAAAAAATAGTCGTTTATGACCATAAATATATTAATTTAGGGGTCTGAGCCTATACTTCTACGGTTCTCAGTACTACATGTTTACATCTCATAGTAACATAGGCGCAACCTACTCTACCACATCCTTCTGAAGGGGGCATGGCAAGACCATGTAAGTGTAAAAGTAAGAAGTAGCGCAGGGCGCTGAGGTTGGTGGAACTACCTCCCGAGGTGGCCGAACCTGTTCTTAGTATAATCCCTATGTATTAGACGCAACTAAAACCAACGCGGAAGACTCGGTGTGCCAGAGAATCCACCACATCATCCATGGAAATGTCTGCCCTGAAAAACGCTCTTCAGGAACCTGTCCTCACCATCGTAATGAATGCTTTTAAAAGGCAACGCCTCAAGAAAGCCAAAAGAGTGGCGCAACAGCAGATGCTGGCAGCCAATGCTCCGAGGCTTCAAGCGGACCCCAAACCTACTCCAGAGGCTAACACAGCAGCAGGATTCGAGAAGCGGGCACTAAAGCGCAGGGTCCAGTCGTGCATTTAAGCTCAGTGTTTCTAAGGGTAGTGTACGGTTCCTGGGTCATCGGGGTGCTTCAAATAATAGAAGATTTTTGTTTTACTCTGTATTAACCACTCGCGTAAAACGATAGAATATAAGCGAAATAATGAAATGTCACTACTGAGCCCTTCTTGGACATGACCTTAGAACAGGCGGAAGACATCCACCTGACGATTCAGGAGACTCTTCAGGATAAGCTCATGGCTGATCTTGAAGCTTCCATGACAACTGAACCAAACGACATCAGGTAAAGCTGAATTCTCTAATAGTGTCCTCAAAACTTGGTTCGAGGGCGCTTTCACGCTGAGTGGGCTGATCGGTCCGGTCAAAGCCATCACCTTTCCTATATCCGACAAAAATTTGATAGTTCGACCTCATGACAGTTACGAAAGTTATCGCGAGGCAGAACCGCCACTTGAACATCCGATCGTTAAGCCCGACGCATAAACGAAGGAAACAATACCCGGTAGGAGTCCTACTCTTCATTTCACATATTTTTTCGTGTTCATTATGGTTAGTTTTAGAGGACATGGACTCTGAACGACACGGTGACATTCGAGTCGAGTCTCTAAAAAAACTTTAGTGCAAGCATTGGCGAAATTTCCCTTGGAAACCGTGCGTAAATACATAGATTTGTGGCCAAACAGAATAAAGGCCTGTATAAATGCCAAAGGTGGCCATTTCGAATAGAACTTATGGCTGGACTAGGTAAGCAGGACGATAGACTGTCAACTGCTCGTAGGCATGCAACGTGATAGAATCCCTAATCAACACATCTTCAACAGATCGACAACGGACCAAATATGCGTCTAAGTGCGGTAATACTATACATTTGATTTTGTTGGTATCACAAGACCAATCAATAGAAAGATTTAGAAAATTTATAGTAAATATTGTTATTTAAAATCTAAAGAAATGCACTTAGCATTTTTATATAATAGTAATTTATTTTAAGCTTTTCAGAGGTACGAAAAAGAAAGAAATCAATAAACTATAGGTTCTTAGTTAGGTTATTTAGGTATATGTTGTTCTTAGTGGAGGTGCCATGCTGTTGCTTTCTGGTTTCAGCCAAATGGGCAGGCACGACTGTAGAATTACCACTGTCTCTCAGAAAACAGGCCTTTAACGATGCAATAGGTACATCTTATAGTACTCCCCGATCTATCCTCAGGTTGCGCGTAGACTGTGATGTCCATCCGTTCTTCTACGTGTGCCGTATAGGTACCACAGCGGAAATGCTGAAACTGACCGTCTGGTTGCATATCCAAATGGCTACAGATTCCCCACTTGAAAAGATCATGATCGAGCCGAAATCGTGCGTACACCTATTCTAAAAAAAAAGGGTGCGTGTACTTATGTACGCTCGTAAGAAGTTATACTTCTTTGGCATTATTAAAAATAGTTTTTGATTGCATGCAAATAATTAATTACAATTAAACAATCAAAGACTGGAAAAGGAGTCATTATAGTCAATCAAGTTCAGTTTACATTTGAAAAATTAAATAAATAAATATTTATTATTATTCTCTTACATTAAGTGTAATATAAATTCTATTATTATTCGAATGTTGTTTTTAAATTATGTCCAATGCCGTAGCATCTTCCGTGGGCAACTTCATTCTGTTAATTTTGCGTCACGATGCGCGCGCATCGTGAAATTTCACTCTCATCAATTTTTCATAACGCGCCTAAAGAAGTATAAGTTCAAAAATTGGGCAGACAACATAGAAATTTTCACGCTGATTTCGACCTATATGTATCGCAAAAACCACATAAGTCACATTAATTGCTGTTAATGCGTACAGTGTACCTCTACATTATTACAAAATCAACAACCACAACTGGGACACGGAGAAGTGAATTATTAAGCTGGAGTCAATAGTTTCTATCTATCTGCTGAGATGTTTTCTTCTATTTTAAAAAAATATGTAACAATGTACAAAATTCAAAAACATTTATTCATTTAGGTTAGGTTACACTTATGAACGTCAATAAAGGAATACATATTAAATGCTAGATGCTTCTAATTTAACATTTACTGCCAGTTTTCAAATCAAGGGCGTAGAACGGACAGAGAACTGGCAATAAACTCTCCGCCACTCTTTTTAAGCGCCGTGTTTTTTTCTTTTAAACAATGTTTGTAAGAAGCTGCAACCATTACACCATGTTCCACATGACATAATAATTTAAAAAAAAAGCAAAGATTTGTCCTCTATCAGCAGTAGGCATTGTGAAATAGGAGCACGCACTTACATTCTCAAGTAGTTGAATAAAAATAACGTAATCAATTTATTATTTAATGGACTGTTTGAGTCGACAAAGCGAAGCTATTAGGATTTCTTCATTATATTTCGAGTAAATCGTCAATATCGGTAAAACTATGAGACGTACGTAAATTTATATTACTGTATACCCAAAGTAAATATAAATTTAAAAACGTATATATAGGTTCTTAAATCATGATATAAGGAATCAATTACGACCCCAAGTATTTCAGGCATCACGAACTGTTCTCGACTGAGACGTTTTCACCTCGTATACAATAGTATCTACTGATCTTCGTGAGACTGTATCACCATCTCAACAAAAATTATGTCAACTTACAAATCAATAAACCAATAATGAGTTATATTTTATAAGGGAATTATTTCGATTCGACGAAATGAAATTCAGTGCCTTCGCGAATCTCTTGTTCTCCACTGACACGACTTTTACATTTAAATTATTACAATCTTCATGAAACTTTGACAAAGCAATAAAGTAACCTGTCTGCGCTTTATAATGAAGTAACAATTACGTAGTAGTAGATCATAAATATTGAACGAAATGTAATTCTTTGATAATAAAATAAAACTACTTACATTAGTTGTAGTAAGATGCAATAATAACGTTATACAAGCAAGCTTGACTATGGTTTTTAGCATATTTTTAATTTAACCGTAAAATCTTATTACCGTGAATGTGGAGTATAAGATCGGTCAGGTTTATTCAGCCTGCTATCTTCAACCCGAACGCATAAGATTAACTTTTAAACAGACTACAAAAAAATATATTTTCCCGAGATCTCAGTTCGTAAATTATATGAAGATCAATTTGATATGATAACAGATAAATTGCAAGTTCTTTCGTGTCTCCGTTTTTAATTTAGTTAGCCCATGAATCAGTTTTTCCATTCAATTTCTTTAATATATTTGTTTTTATTTGGTAAGTACATGTTGCTTTGCTAAGAAGTTGCGAAGTTGAAACATCTTATGCTTTCAGCTATTTTATTACAACTCCAAATTTCCAACGATAACATCCAGGTGGGATACAATCTAGCGCTTTTGCGCTTTATTTAGCGAATGAGACTGAAAGCCTGTAAAAGCTAACATTAAACGACGCTTCATTGTTCTCCAGATGTTAGGAATTATTAAGTAATTTTAACGTAAGCACAATTTTTATACGATACAGTGAATAGTATTTATTGAATTTTCATTGATTAAAATGTAAATGATTTATAATTTTATTAAGTGAAATGCCTCGGTTTAGTATTTTATATGTAAAATGTGTTTTTCTAAAAACTAAACCAATAAGCGAAAAAAAGAAAGATTTAATTAAAAATATAACTAATTGCGTATAATCGTACCAATAAATAGCTTATCATAATTAATATTTGTGACGATTATACCGTTTAGATTCACAATCAAAACATACAGGTTGAATTGATAACCTCCTCCTTCGGAATGTTTGTGGTCGGTTAAAGAAATTTCAAGAGTAAAGCTCTCAATCCGGTACAAAAAGAAAATAACATATTCTCTCTTCATAATCTAAAATCATAAATATAGTATGGTAATCCTCCTTCGAAAGCAGTTCTCAAGTAATACACATTGTCAAATCTCAAAAAAATATTTTAGCGAAAGGCAAGCGCAGTCGGCGATTGTTTCGCTAATTCCCCAGACAGGCGCGGCAGTCCGTACTCTGTTGGCAACGCGGTGGGTTCGCGGTCGCGTCAGGCCAGTCGTCGTCCGTCAGTCGGGGAATGTGCTCTGATGCGGGAGCTTGTGCCGCTTTTGTAGTCGCGTGTGTTGTGTAAATAAAACTGGTGATTTTTGCAATGCGGTGTGCGGTGCTGGTGTGTCTTGCGGCGAGCTGGGGCTGTGTCGCCGCCGCCCCTGCGTCTTGCCTCGAACACTTCTTCGTCAAACACAACGTAACAGCTGATGACAGCCAACAGCCAGGTGCGATTTTGCTACACCGTAGCACCTATAGTCTATCCCACCTATTATACTATATAAAACACTTCGTTCCGCACAATTTTTAATATATAATATCAAAGTATGTATTGGTAAATAATTAGTTCACGCCGGTCACCTTATCGCCTCCACTCTCGCTGATTGTCGTCAAGAGATGTTTCCATTAATTGAATATGTTTACCTTGGAATATTTAATGCTTTTAATTGATAAAAATATGAAATACTCATAAAATTACGTTCGAACGAAGCTTTAAAGCTATTTAAAAAAATTTAAAAGTTTCTTTTTACTTTCGGTGACTCTTATAATTTTTTATATGAGAATTCTGCTTACATTTTTATTCTATTCTGTCTCACATATACAATTTGATTAAATGTTACAACATGTTTGTTGTCCGCTTTATATATTCAGAGATGTGTCTAAGGGTAATATTCAGTCGACGTGCTATGTTTATATTGCCCTAGATAAAAAACGTCTTTATTTACTGACAAGAGATTGCCACCAACAAAATCTCTGGTTTTAATGTGACAAGAACTCACACGCAAACCTAACATGCTTGAAGAGAATTTAAAAAATCACTTTTTATTTAACATATATCGGGTATCATAGTTCGCGCTAATTGCAAATATTTTTTGCACATTCGGTCATCAATTAAACATTAATTATAATCGCAATGACAAAACGAAACTTGCAGCCGCTCGCCGATGATTACTTTGATCCATTACAATTGTTTGATGTCGGTTTATTGCGAAACGTGAGCCGTCATTGTTATGATGTAATCCTATACAGAATAAATACAAGAACAATCTAATGGTTAGGCGAATGACGACCGCGTGAGGCTACATTGCGGCGAGAGCTGGACTCCAATTATATGAGGCACGTTCACAATAATGAAGTCATTGCCAAGTGGTTGTTACAATTCATTCCTTAATTAATATAGAAAACATGCTATTGTCTATCGTGCAAATCAATATTAAGGAAAAATATTGTTGACTCTAATCGTGGTTGATTTTCTTTTTAGTTCTGTCTGGTAAAGATTATAGCAGATAATAAATTACTTCTCAAATACCGGCGTACAGGTACCTAATTTGTCTGTGTTGTGTGATGGTGTAAAAGTGGTAGAGGGTAAGTAGGTGTGTTTGTGGGGTGTGCTCATGATGCAGGTGATTTTGCGCTATAGCTTAAACAAGTCAATTCAAGGCTTAAATATTGGTTGTTGTATGTCCGAGCTGCGCGATATAAAACTGAGTTTTTTGCATAGTTAGTGTTGATATGAGGAACTTTGTACAATATTTTGTATTACAATCTGATATTGCGTGTTGCTCTATTAAACAGCCCTGATATAATGAGCATTGAAAACGTTGTATTGTGTACATTGCACTATGCAATGGGGTGCATAGTTTGCATTACACAACGTGTCAGCACTGAACAGTCCGCTTGGCGCTAGAGCTCTCACGCGTCGACAGTGATTAGTCATTTACTATAAAATACAATTTCCATTGGATCTTTTATTTCTTTAAAATATTGTATAAAGGAGAATCAAGGAACAGTCTGTGAAGCTTTTAAAACGTCAATAATTTATTCACGTTAAAGATCTGTATCGAACCATAGACATTGGCGAAGTTCTTATAGATAAAATGAAACTAACATTAGAATATCGCGATGTCTGCACGTAGACAAGAGGTCGCCTGCGGTCGATACAATTGTAATAAGAGTGTAAGACACATGCAAATAAAACACGATAAGTCAGCTGCGGCTATCCGACGCTGGCCGTGAACTTTGGCTGTATTTATGAACGAACCAGTGTATACTCTGAGCAATAACACGAGAAACGCTTTAACAGCTCATTGTTGAATATCGAATCAATTTTTGATCGTAAACGGCGAGGCAGTCGGTTTATCAAAATGGGTGGCGGGGGCGGGCGGTTGAATGGCGGATGGAGGCTTTGTTGGCATTCCTCGGCTCGCGCCTGGGAACCGGCCTACCCTCCGCGCGCTCCTCGCCCCGGCGCATTCCTGCTCTCTCACTTTCATTGTTCCCGTCGGCGCGGGAGGTCGCCGCTCTCAATAAAGGAACCAGTCCTCGACTCCCGACACGTCCGTTATTAGCGCTCAGTGGCGAATTCTATTCTAAAACATGCAAGTGCCCTTTCACCGCTTTTAGATAATGCAAGCAATACACTATTAAGCTTCTTATTTGTAATTAGCCCGCCCGCGCGTGGCATTTAAATTTCGTCCTGCCTGTTTTGACACGACTATTTAAACATACACACAAATATGTGTCTGCTCTTTTGCAGGTACATTATTATTCGCAGATGAACTCTACTATCATCGCTTATCATAAATGCCAATAGTGACCAATTGTTGCAGTATTTGGTTAATTAAAATAAATTTTATAACGATACTTTATTTTACTTTTCGTAAGGACCCCGTATCCTCGAATGTCATTTGAGTAAAACGAGGCAATTCGCTTCGAGACACTCGCAATTTCAATTCAATTCAAATTGGCTGACGTCAGCGTCAATTGGATAAGTGACGCGGAATTGGGTTTTATTTAATAAGTACTGTATGACTTTTTAAGGTAAAGATAAATATGAACAATTCCACATCTAAATATATATTTTTTTATTGATAAAAAGCTTGCCAACGCTCGACACACTGCTACATTGGCAAAAATAAACACAAAATACAATTTTGAATGAGACAAGCACTTAAAGGCAAACATGACATTCATGTAGAGATCATACAAATATCAATTAAAACAATTATTAAGCAAAACAGACATTACAAAAAAAAACAATTACTTACTAATCAAAAAAATTAAAATTACAAAAATCTAAACAAAAATCGATTTTATAGTGTGAGGGGAGCAACTACATAATCACATATCATTGTTTGTCACTTTGTGAATGAGTAGAGAAAGAGATAGTAGAAAGTACTTTTAAATAGAGTAGAGAAAATTCTGCTCCTATTTTACTATCATAGTTAACAGTCTCTCATGCCGAGAATAAATAACACTGCCTTAAAAAATATAAAACTATATATGGTTATATAGTACGTCTCCCAATATTAATATGTAGATAATTAAAGTCAGTCATTAAAGTAATGGACACTGTATTCAAGTAAGAATGTATGTTTATTAGAAGTACAGAATATTTATTGTTTATTTGTATTTAAGAAAATTAAAATAAACCACTCGAAAAATTTTCGTTTATTAATTTGTTAAGGCTCTCGCATAATTTGTGACACGGCCGGTCATTTGAGCCCATTCTGCTTTAGCCTATATATATTAAAAATTGTGTAGGCCGTTGACAAACAACGAAGCTATCTTTGTAAAAAGTTTAAAAGTCAAAAATCATATATTCGCATAGGTAACACAATGTACACTTATGATCATCAAAAAAGCAATACATATACATTAAATGCTTTTAATTTTACATTGACTGTTCTTAAATCAAGGGCGTAGAACAGAAGAGAAGAACTGGCAATAAACTCTCCGCCACTGTTTTTAATCGCCAAGTTTTTTCTTAATACTGCTCGGTTGTATTTCACTTTGTCGTCAGGCAGAATAGTTCAAGTAAAAGAACTATATTTCTTAGTGCTTAGACGGTTTGAGCACTTGAGAACCTTTAAACTTTATAAGAAAATACTAGTTTGACAAGTACAACTCTTTATCACGTCATTCGTTATAACAATGAGTAAAAATAAGTTAAAGTTATTTGGTTTAACCCAATACCCATACATTAACTCTCATACGGTCCCTCAATTCGTTATAAAGACTTTACACTGCATTGAGATTCGACGTCGAATCTGATCTGAAATCTTGAGAGTTTATTTGCAAGTTCTTCTCTTCCGTTCTACGCCCTTAATTTGAGAACTGGCAGTAAATGTGAAATTAGAAGCATTCCATATATTTATTTTTTGACGTTCATAAGTGTACATTTTGTTACCTATATGAATAAATGATTTTGAATTTTGAATCTCGTTTTAGAACACGATAACATTTTGTTTTCTGGCACAACAATTTCAATACAAGTATTATGACAGCGCTATTACAAAAATGCAAGAGAAATTAGCTTCCCATTATCGCTGGTCGCAATCAAAGTCTCGAGGTGTCTTCATTGAGGAGAACCACTCGTTTTTATGTTCGGAATGTGCGTACCTGGCCAACGGGGCAGGTACCGCCGGCGGTAGATTTGTAACAAAGCTATCGCCTAGGTGGCATTGTTGTCTATAAGAGTTGAAAGTCTATTTGTTTTTGCGGATTACGTGACGAAAATTCACTCCATTGTTGCATTATTTGTCTTTTGTGCCTCGAAAATTGTTTTAAAAGTCAGGTAGTTTAAAGAGTCCTCGTGGCGACCCGGTTCACATACTGTTGAATGGCCCAAATTAAGAGAATACGTCGTTAGCGGGCTGCCAACGTAAAATGGAAACCATTTCCAGCAATTTCAGCCACACCTAAAGTTACTCGGTGAAGCATCTTTTTTTTTTTTTTAAATGTGTGTGTGCCACCTAAATGCAATCTAAACTATTTTATCAATGTTTGGTTTTTTATTATCTCATTTCTCAGTTCTATTGCAGATTATTAGGTCTCAGGTTCAAAGCCTGAGTGGCGTTCTCAGTGACTATTTTTCTTATATTAGGTAAACATCCGATTGTGGTTTGTGTGGCTAAAAAGCTAGAATAACCTCACGTAACCTTATAATTGATAATTCACTTGCTTTTAAAATTGTGGTATAAAACAGACAGTGTGTGCCTCAATCCCAATTTGGCTGATAAAAGTACGCCGTTAAACCAAGCCCTGGGAGTACTATACTGCTAAGTGCTACTGTGTGTTTCTACATGTTTCTACATTCTTAAAAGGTCGGCAACACAGTCGCGAGTCCTCTGGCATTAAGAGTGTCCATGGGCGGCGGCATTATTACTTAACATCAGGTGAGCTTGATCCCCGTTTGCGCCCTGTTCTATAAAAAAAAACTCAATATTAGTGGGACATGGGGTAGGGGGTTAAAACTCACTGAATAAGTCAAGTAACACATCTGCCACCGAGTGGCTGATTGCATCCGTTTTTTTATAATAGAGTTTATCATAAATTATATCTAATTAATGTTAATGAACGTTAAAGCCACTTTTAATATTTTCTATTTATTGTGCATGGAATTAAACCGGAAATATTAAACAAATAAACGTGAATTGCACCGGAAACGGTCGTAGTTTAAATTATTTTAATTGTTTATTAGCAATGTGATGCCTTAGACTCCTCTAAACCAGGCTCTGCCTTATAAGCTCTATATACAATAGATTTAATCGATTTTATAGTTTATTACTTTGTATTAAAGTACATTTTACAATGGAATCAACAGTCTCGGTTACCCCTGCACTGTCTAAGGAGTATTGACTCGTTTAGTGCATTCAAAAACATTTGAATTTAAATGTTGGGGGACCTTAGCTAATTAGTTCCAGTTCCTTTACTTATCACATTAATACGATACGGCTTCTTCTCTTGTTCTTGATCCAATTACGTTGAATAAAGCTAAGGTAGACCGCCAATAGGCACAGAAATGCCGAATAGAAACCTTGCACTTGAACCTTGCACTTCCAAGTGCGGTGCGGTGCGGTACTGGGCTTTCAAGTAAAAATTCAAAAATCATTTATTCATATAGGTAACAAAATATACACTTATGAACGTCAAAAGAAATATATATTAAATGCTTCTAATTTGACATTAATTGCCAGTTCTCAAATCACGGCCGTAGCACGGAAGAGTAGAAATGGCAATAAACTCTCCGCCACTCTTTTTAATCGCCAAGTTTTTTGTGTACGCAACACACAAATTATCGCATTTTAGCATTGTTCCTTATTATATTTATAAAGGATCCCAAAATGAAATAGACGTATTGATGATATATATAGATTCGTGTCGAATTAATTAACAGATAAGAGGCTAATTATTCGAGCACTCGACTGTCCCTTGTAGACCTATACGTAGAGTCAGAGATCAAAGATCACAGGAATTATACACGGCCCAATTAGGAAACGACTGGAATGTATTATACTTAGTATTGTTAGGGAACGTACCCATACTACGTGACCTATTTGAAGTGAAACTTCTTTATCGAGGTTGGAAAAAAATTTAGTGTAACATTTTTTCGTTACGCGTCACATTTTTCGGTTACGCGTCACATTTTTCGGTTACGCGCCATGTTGCTTTTTGAAGTCAAACTTCATTATCGGCGTTGGAATGAAACTTCTTTATCGACGTATGGGAGAAATTTTGTAGCAAATTGTCACGTTTTTCAATGATAGTAATAATTCTATTACAATTAATGAAATTATATAATAATCTTCGTAGTAATAAGGTACAATGAAATATTTGTATTCATGTCTATGATAATAAAAGCCTTTTGTTAAACTTTATCTAATTTAACGAATTTCTGTAAAGTTGCATATAGTAGATCATTTTTCGAAAAACAAGATCATAAAGAAGTTTCACTTCTTACGTGTGTACACCTAGTACACGCACAATTTATTTTTTTGTTTTTTCGACGCCTCCCTCCCCTCGGTGACCACTCATAGTATATAACAACCCCCCCTCCCCCTTTAGTTACTATTAGTTTTACTACGTGAAAACGTAGTAATTCATAATTATGATTTTTAATCATTTCACAGGCAAAAATTGAAAAAAAAAAATTCGGCTCATACTCATCTTTATCTTACTCTTCTTCATATGTGCGTCAACGCCACCAACTGTAAGGTTACAAAGCCCCGCTCCTGTGACTGACCGTAGTATTTTAAAGACTCCGCTCCGATTAAGATTCTAGTTGCCCCTTCCAAATGGTAGTTTCGTGTGGAGAAGAATGGACAAGAAACTCCACACTTACTCTTTTAAAATAGGTTTACAATATTTTGTTGATGTTAAGTGATACCGCCGCCCATGGACACTCACATTGTCAGAAGGCTCGCAAGTCCGTTTTTCTTGAAGGACCCTAAGTCGAATTGGCTCGGAAATACTTCAGTGGGCAGCTGATTCC